ACAGCTCCTTGAAGCTGGCCCTTTCTGCTTAGCTTCCATTTTCTTGACTTTCTTTTCCAGACATTCACTGAGCTTAACTTTGATGCTTACTGTCATGGAGACAAGCATAGGTAACAGGGAAAAAAAATATTCAGAAACTTCAATGTTTACAAAGATTATTTTCTCTACAAATACAGGTAGTGCCAATACCAGGCATAGTCTTCATAAGAATGGTCTTGAAAAAAATACTTGGATTTCTGCATACTCTTGCCCACTGAAGCACCATGCTTATTTGTTAACTATGGTGTATTTTTTTCCCATAGGTTTCTTACGCCATTGGAGTAGCTCAACCACTCTCAATCTCACTATTCACTTATGGAACCTCCCAAAAAACAGAGAAAGAGCTGCTGGACATCGTGCACAAAAACTTTGATCTGCGGCCTGGAGTCATTGTCAGGTAAGAAAGCAGAAAGATATGGAAACACCTTGATGATCACACCGTAGAACTGCTTTCTTGCAGAACTGTGAGATATAGCAGTGCGATAACGATCCTACTAAGCCAGCTCAGAATTGTTCTGTGCACTTCTAAAGAGACCTTTTGTCAGACTGCACAGTTGATAGCTTTGATGTAGCACTAGCATGCCATGTATTTTTAAATGACAGATGTTGTTTTCAAGTTTCATATACTTCCAGCCTTTGACCAAATATACTAAATGGAATTGATATACATAAAGCTATAACATGACGGAAAGCATAGCAACAACAGAACAAAAGCAAAACACCAGGCACCAGGCTACAGCAAAAGAGAAAATACTGAAACATGACACAAATGGACAGAGAAGAAGAAAAAAAAAAAAAACAAAAAACACAGCAAGCTACTTACCTTTGCAAAACTTCAAATACATAGGGAGCTCTAACAAGATCCCTTTGCTTCCCCTGCCAACCCTTAAATGAGGTCTGTGAAGGGTGGATCCTGGCTCCAGCCCTTCTGGTCACTGAGCTGCATTGAGCGCATCTGAGCTTCTCTGAGTTGGCCCTGCCTTCACACCAGGCGCTCCGTCACTGTTTCAAGCTGTGACTTAACATTTCTTCTACAATATAAAATATTTTTTTATCTTATTTTGCTATGAAAAAGAAATAGGTTTAATTTTATGAAATGAGTGGAATGTACTTCTTTTCTATTAAAACTCATTATTCTCAATAAAAAGAACATTTCCTGTAGCCCTAAGGAGTTCACATGTATGTTTTGTTGTCAGCTGTATGGTTTGGGTACATTATGCTGAGTGTTGCCAGCAGGTCAAGGGAGGTGCTCCCCTGCCTCTACTCTGCCCTGGCAAGATCACATCTAGAGTTCTGTGATTCTGCGACTCAGTTTACATTTGGACACAATCACTGATATGTTTACATCTTTAGAATATGCTTCCTAGGTGAAGGTTATGAATTGGATATCTATGTCAAGATTTTATTCATAAATACTATGAATATTATATGGTGATTTTGTTTTTTGTTTTTTCTAATTATTCACACAGGGATTTGGATCTAAAAAAGCCCATTTACCAGAAGACTGCATGTTATGGTCACTTTGGAAGAAACGAATTCTCATGGGAGGTGCCTAAAAAGCTTGTGTTTTGACCCTTGCCATCTATCTTTAAAAACAAAAAGGAAGAGAAGTTCACTAAGATGAGGATGCTTCCAAAAATCAGATTTGACAGCTTTGTATTTAACCAAAGGAATTTTAGATTTTAAAAGGAAAGAAAGGAAAGGATATTTTCTTGGAGATTGATTTTTTTTTTTTTTTTTTTTTTAGCCCTCGGTGTCCTTCATTATCTAAAATATACAAGACAGAATCTTGTTTTTAATCAACATAAGACAACAAAACACAGTTTACTTTTTATTGCTGCTCCATTGGTTCCTTTGATAAAGGTCAAGTATGACTCAGGTACTCAAACCAATGGCTGAACCTCAAACCTTTCATGAGCAAAGGAATGGATGACTTTCCCAACTGACTAAGGATCAGCAGATCTCTTACCTCTAATTAGACAATGGGAAATTCTGGGGTCCAATTTCCTTACTGGAGTTAGCACTGCGTACAGCTGGGGGTTGCTTTGATGGGAGAAGGCTGGATATCACATAACTGTATCTTGGCCTCTTTAGTGGAAGATGTTACCAGGTACATAATATTTAAATCTTCTTCACCAAGTATGTGCTGTTACTGTTGTGTTTCAATTACCTGTGTTTTTGAAACGTGTTCTCCTATAAAACAATCATACAATAAAAAGCTTTTTCCTACCATGCATGTGAGGGTGTCTCTTCCTGTTTTCTAACATTATAGTATAATAGTCCTCTCCACTTAGCCTTTAATACTCTTGTAGGATTTTTGTTTATTAACGTGATTAAATTTTAATAGCTTTTGGAATTGTGATATGAATTTATATTTCACCACATTCGTGATTATTGTTTAGTCCTTCTCATTAATAGAAACTTGAAAAGGTATTAAACTCTTAAGTTTGCCCTTGACAGTATTCTCTAAAGTAATATTTGCTCCCAAATGTTAGGTCTATTGCACAGCGTATTATATTTTATCTAAATTTGAAATAAAATAAAAAATGCAGAGAAATAACTGCAGAACATCAGAAAAACACATATACTACGTGGTTAAAATTTGTACCACTGGCCTATCCAGCAGTCTCTCATCAAAGAACTAACCACTAGATGGCTGTGCGTCCCTCTGCAGCTAAGGGAGCAAGTCTGTGTAGAAAGCATGTCGGCATTTGTGCAGGTACTCAGCTGTTAAATCCGGGTACCTGCACCCTTGCTGCTGCTGAAGATGGTGGCTGCTTTGCCTTGTACCATTTCTGGGTACCTGGTGAGTATGATGGGTTAGTTGTGATTGAAACTGATGACAAGGATGTTGTTGCTGTGTGATCGCATTATACCATTCTATAAAGTAAAGAAGTAAGTAAATTGTTTGCAAAGGACCACAAATTAATCCCAGGCATGTTTAGTTTAGGAGGACGTGGGACCTTTATCCTCTTTATCCTCTGTGAAAAGTTTTGTTTGTCAACAGGCAACAAGGACGAACTTAATGCTACGGTACAAGGTTCACCTGCATATGGCTCCAGGAGTCACTAAACTCTAGTTTTATGCTTTAAACGGCATCCTGTTAGATAGTCTGCCCTGGACAAGTCCTGCTACCCCGTATTTTTCTCCAGATTGACTTTCATTGCAGATTGTCATCCAAACAGATGTTGAGGTGGAGAATGCATGACTGTGATGATTGTTTAAGAAAAGCTGCCATTTATTCTCTTCTTTCGGTCTGTCACAAACAAAACTACGTCTGCTCAAGCCAGAAGCTTTTCCGCTTTACTCATCATACTAATGTGCTAGGTGAACTGTGAGTTGAGCAGAGTAAGTAGTAGGTTTGTGTGTAGCATCCTACCTCCTTACATTGTTTATCAATGGCCTTCTTTAGACCCGTGAACATGTTCTGGCAGACAAATACCTTAATGTACAGATGCACCTTAAATAATTGGCAAAAGTGATTTCCTAGCTGCACATTGCTGATCACAGAAGGAACAAGATCGCTGTGTGTGTGTAAGCCTCAAAAATGTAAACTGTTTGGGGCTAGGTCCTATTGGTCTGCCTAGAAACACAAACTTTGCCTTTTTTTGGTATTAAAAAGTTGTTTGGCTAATGAGCTTACAGGAATGTATACAGGATTATTTTTATGATTAAGAAGGCTGTCACCATTCATGCTGACATAGAACTGTTTTGTGGAAGTGGGTTACAGTTACCTGCATCCCTTTATCGAGACCTCTCCAAGACAAGGACAAGGAAGCATATTTTGTCAGCACAGCAGAGGCCCTGCCATTGGCTTCACAGCTTCAGGATCTCATAATGGGTTATACTGAAACTAAGAGAAGCAAACAAGGAAGCAAAATAAATACAAAGACACCTGAAAGACTGCTGCATAAACAAATATGTTTTGCAACCTGGCATGAAAGCAGAACATCTATGTCTCAACCAAAACAAATATCTGCAGAAAAAATTGAACTGTGCTACACAAACAGTAAAAGGAAGAACCATTAAGGAATTTGGTGGTGGTGATGTGTATGGAGGGGTTATTTTCTTAAAATGCATGCACGTACCCTAGGATAGGTGATGTAAAGCACAAAATGTGAGCTGTAGGTTGGCTACATACTATCAGAGGCCAAAGAACAGACCTGATGTTTGAGGTGCTGGGATGTGCTGCTGGTGGGCCCCACGGGGTTGGCACAGGCCTGTGCACTCGGTAAGAGGCTGGGCACTGAGACCTGACCCCTGCAAATGGGGCAGTCAGCCAATCACTCCCAGCATGTCAGCAGTATCTGGACTACTGAAATACTCTGCTAGTAAAAGGTAGAAATGATTAAACTTGAGCGGTAATTTTGCTAATTATTTGGCATCTCCTGTGAATGGACGTAAGGGTGTATGAAATTCATGGACCTATTTAAAAAAATGCAAACTACATCCAGAAATACCATGCTACTGATATGGTATACTTGGAGAATAGGTTCATGTTCTCAGGATTTTGTGTTTTTTTTTTTTTTTCTGCCTGGGTCTCCACTTTGTTTATTTTGTATTTAATAACCTGAAATGGAAACCATATGGAAACTGGACGCCTTCCTTACTAAGTAGCTAAACTCTGGATGCTACCAGATAACACTGCACAGCTCCTCGATCCAAGTCTATTTAGCCATTATCTGCTGTCCTGAGCTTTCTCTTTCAGAGTGAGATACAAGGCTGAGGTCCTTCAGTACAATTATGTCTTCTAAATGAATGTGCACGTGAGACAGACAGACTAACTCAGGAGACAGATATAGCAATGGAGTTAGAGAGGAAGAGAGCAAGAGCAGGAAAGCATGTGCTAACCATGTTTACAATACAACAGTAATTAATCCAAAGCCAGCCCATCTCAGTGTGGTAACAAGACCCTCCCCTTATCCTCCTCAAAGCACTCTGCAAATTGCCCAGTGGCTTCCTGGCAGGTTGGGCAATACTGCATCCACACCGGTGCTGGTGATAGGCACAGTGCAAACAACCAGACACCTATTTACATGTAGCGGTCTGTCTGGTTCCAGCACTTAATCTTCCAGGCTCCACCAGCAGTAGGTAGCCAGCCCCTGATCTCCTGCAGCAAAAATGCCGTTTAGCTCCTGCCCATTCTGGAGAATGCTGTTTTTTGTAAGTTTAGCAGGGTTTCTTTCAGGTGAGGTAATATTGTTTTTTGATGTGAATAATAATTACTTAAAAACTGACTATCTTACAGCAAGGAAATATTCTACTTGGGAACACAGCCCTGAGTAGCCACCAATATGCAATTAGATTGCTGACTGTGCAGTTTAGTCCCACTTAATACCTAGTTGCCTCAGGTATACAAGGTAGCACTAAGACTGCAGCTCAGTGGCACGATTCTCATAAGCAAGTACTGTTATATGAAGTTTGGGGTTTATGTGGGTGCCATAAGGGTTAATTAACCAACTAACTATATACATCTCTGTATGTCTTTCAGATTTGTCTGAAACTGGAGCTTTTGCCAGTCAGAGTGACTGCGACAGTGCAACCATAGATAACGTGACTCAAAGCCTTCAGGTAAGAGGACTAAACCAGGGCAGTTACACAGATCCCTTCTGCTGCTGTCTGGGGCAACAGGGCCCTGTGGGGCAGGCACATGAAGCAGGATGATCTTGTGGAAGAGCTCTGCTGGTGTCTCCTTCAGCTGCTCTGTGACAGGGGGGCTGGAGATTCATGATCCTTGAGGTTCCTTCCAACCTGAGCCATTCTGTGTTTCTGTGATTCTGTGCTCCTGTGCATGACAGCAGGGGAGGAGACGAAAGAGCAGAGATGAGTGCAGACACTGACCTGCTGTGTCTTTGATCCTACTACTGCTAGTCAAAAAATAGCCTTATAGATGTGTTTTCCAGTTTTACTTTGCTCTGCATACACAAAGGAGCTTGCACATAAACAACCATCTCTTTTACCTCTTGTGCAATGTTTTCAACCCTTAAATAGTGTTAAATAGTTTAAAAGCAAATAAAGCCACTGAAAGCCTCTGCTTTGTGACTTTGTGCCTTACCCTGTGTGGGACAAGTATGTCACAATGGAGTGACCAGCCAGTTAACCTTGGTAGAAATGGTAGAAAGAGTATTTCTTTAATGTATGACCTATGCCCATCACTTCCACTGATGTCTCTGAAAGCTCGGTTACCAGTTGTTGACAAGTGCTGAGGGCTGACACAGAGGGCTGAGCTGGACTTTTTCTTATGTCTAAGTACACACTAACCGGGGTCTGTTATAGAGATGGCAGTCACCTGAGGAGTTTCCCACAGTTTTTCTCTATCCACACATGCACATACATGTGGAGTGAAAGATACATTCATGCTTACATAGAACAACAGCTAGATAAAACTACAGATACTTCTTTGTTTACACTTTCACCCCGTCCCTGGAGGTGTTCAAGGCCAGGTTGGATGGCGGCCCTGGGCAGCCTGGTCTAGTGGGGAGGTTGGTGGCCTTGCCTGTGGTGGGGGTTGGAGATTCATGATCCTTGAGGTCCCTTCCAACTCGGGCCATTCTGTGATTCTGTGATTGAGATTTCACAAATGCCTATGTTTACTTACACAAAGAGGAACTCTGTGAGACACTAGCATTCACAAACAGGAGTAACAAACCAATGTATTATGCAGAAAGGAGGTACATACAACTGTTTACAAAGATATGTTTTCTCAGTTCCAGTATGAAGAACCCTATCTATTCTTAAATTTATTCCAAGGCTTTTCCTACTCAATGTATTGTTTTTTCCCTTCTAACTCCATAGAAATATTCAACATGCCTTCCTGAAATGGCCAAAAAAGATGGACGAGATTCACTCAATCGCTTTATCTGGATACTGAAAGACAGTCTTACTCTTCTGCAACCTTTGCAAGGCAAATGTGAGACCCCTACTGCAGCCACACTTCTCTTCTTTGGGTGTTGAATGAAGCAGCAGCAAAGATGCCACAGGATATATATATTTTTAAACTGCATTCAGCATGAGCTAAGTCCCTGCATTTTTTTAGGGAAAAAATTAAAAAGAAAAGGAATCACAGCAGGAATCTAGAGAGCAAGGATGCTTGCCACTGCATCTGGGAGGCAGGGAAGCCCTGCGGTGGTGCTGGACCTGGGAATGGGCACCTCAGTCTTGTTCTGGGACATGCTTGAGTAGTTCTAACTCCAACAGCGCTGAATGTTGATGCTGTGAATGCAAAGGCCTCTTTGACCCACTTCTAAAACGTAACTTCTGCTGCCAGGCACTTTGTTCTCACAGCAACAAGTGATGGAAAAATTGGGCATTGCCAAAAAAAAAAAAAAAAAGAATGCTTTTAAGCAAACAAAAAAGCCTGCTTTGCCCACGTCAGGTAATGGGGAAGTTATCACCTGCACCAGGTCAATGACTATGCATTTAGTTTGCTTGGGAAGAGACTGGTCTACCCATTTTCACTTCTTTTTTCTTTCTTTTTCTTTCCTTTTTTTAAACTCACGTGAAAGTTTGCAAGCATCTGCCTCAGTGCCCGCAGCCTATCGCCCCTAAGAATGGTGGGATAGTGTGCATCACTATTGGAAGCACTGAGTACTGCAAACCCATGTGCAACAAGGTAATAGTCACAGTTCACTGCTACTAGCTTGCTGGCTTTATTCATTAATTTACAGATGCTTATTGTGGTGTGGTGCATTATTTCCTCATTACACTTTTTTTTCCCCTTTATGATAGCGAGAAGTTGTAGTGTTTGTATTGAACTTTGCTGGCTGAATGTTTCTGCACTTATGGTTACTGTGATACAGGCTGAATTGTGTTTATCCCATCCCTCTTCCCCAAGGGTTACGATTTCTCATTCCTCAGAAGAAGCAGGCTGTATGAAAGCTGTGGTAGTAGCACTGGGTTCACCTGGACGACTCAGCTGACTGGAGGGCAGACACTGGCTGTCTGTGAATGTGAGTAGCCCTCAAACATCTTAGTATGGGTGTGGGGGACTCAGGGACGGAAAAAAAGGGTGAGAAAGAGGAAAAACCTCGCTGGCACTTGTGAGACTCTTGAGAGCTGATGCTGGACTGGCCTCTAGTCTACAGGACCAGAAATCTTGCTTGTTTTAAAACCACCACAAAGGTCTGTGCTGGTGAGCGCTGCTATTTAAGCTTGGACTAGCAAAAAGCACTTGTACCCATTAAGTTTGTGGGATGGTGCATCTTGACACAAATGCTGTGAGGCGCAGTGATTGTGTGACCAGCTGGACTGGCAGCAGCAGCACAAAAGGGCAGTTTATCTTGCAAGTGTACCCAAAGTGCCTCAGCAGAACTGGCCACCACCTGCACCACTCGCTGTGTGTACAAACCATAAAAGCCAGCAGCTGTTCCTAGCCAGCAGTATTATCTCATCATGTGGCAGCCCAAGGGTTCTAAGTATGCTTCCACTGCATCCAGCAAGCAGTCTGTGACCCGAAACAGCTGTCTGAATCTGCTATTGCCATAATTTAAAAATAAATATTCATGCACACACATACAGGAAAAGACCAACCTTTCTCCTGTATGTTTAATTATAAGTACTTTACTGTTGACTGCTGTTGTTACTAGAACAGTTTATTTCCTAAGGCTTAAAAAAAAAAAACAGTTCTGCAGTCACTTTTATTCCAAGTTGAAGCTTCTAGCCTGGAAAATGGGAATGCCGGTGACTGTTTAAAATCAGGATAAACACACCTGGGTTTAGCTGCATAATTCAGCTGTTTTTTCTGGTTTTGATCTTTCCAGCCTCAGAGAAAGCAGTGAGTGGAGCTGAATCTGCCTATTTCCCCGACAACAGCAGCTGTCTGCACACATTAGCCTACAGTGAGAACGAGCAGCTGGACACCTTCCTCAAAGAGCTTGCTAAGCAAGGCATAGACACCTTCAACCACGACAAGGAGGCAGACTGTCTAATATGTGGTTATTAGCAGGAGGGACTAGCAGGCATGGCATGCTTGTACCACAGACCAAGTGGCTGGCTGTGGTTGGATGTGAGTATTTCAACAAGAAAAGCAGAGCAGTAAAATCCCTCCTAAGAGCTATGAACATACAGCTTGTATTTAGTTAAAAGATTTGAGATCACAGTCACCACTTGACCTCAGCTCTTGGGTACAGATGCATACACTAAATCTAGTTGCATAGCTCACAGCAGGGGCATTTCAAAGAATGCAGATTATATTTTTATGCCTTAAATTTGTCTTACCGTAATTATAAGGGAATTACAGCCTCTTAATTGATGCATTCATTAGTTAAGCGCAGTAATTGTTCTCAGAAATCATCTTCTGTAAAGATGGATCATTTTTATGGAGGAAGAGTTGTGCTTCTAGTTGCTTTCACAGTTGTCAGTTAATCACTGTTGTTGCTTTGGTGACCATTAAAATTATGCAAGTCACAGCAGCTATGGCTATAGGAAAAAACTCTGTGCACGTGCCTGTGTGTTTGGGGGTAAAATCAGACTGTGCATACAGGTGTTTAGGGAGCTGCAGCTCACATGAGCTAAGGATATGAAGCTCTGCAGTTTGCTGGGGGAACAGCTCAAATATCTTTCCCTTTGTATTTACAAGACTGAGGATGTCACACAGAAGTGTATACAATCAGGCACAGTTCAGAGCATTTATAGCACTCTAAAAGTGCCCTGTATTCTTGCTGTAGGTAGATAAAAGAGCAGGAAAAATGCAACATTTCAGCCTGGCACAAAATGTGAGAAATGGGATCACCCTAAATTATCAGAAATTTCCACCATGTCTTCTTAGGTAGAGGTTACTGCAAACTGTAATTGAACTTCAGAGGAGGAATACAAAAGCAGCTGAGATCCAGAATCACAGAATGGCCTGCATTGGAAGGACCTTAAGGATCATGAATTTCCACCCCCCTGCCACATGCAGGGCCACCAACCTCCCCATTTAATACCAGATCAGGCTGCCCAGGGCCCCATCCAACCTGGCCTTGAACACCTCCAGGGATGGGGCATCCACAGCCTCTCTGGGCAGCTGCATTAGAGTGGAGCTCTAGGGCTTTGGACTGAGCGCAGGGCAGAGTGGCTAAGATGCTTTGGTGTCAGTACAACTGTGCTGGGGCATTTCCTGGGCCTAGACCAAGATATCTGCAGCTCCTGGCTAGTCACCCTCCCTGGTCTCCCTTCCATTACCATATTTCCAAACCCAGTCTACACTGAGGCAGATTTGTCTGTTACCACCACTACCAAAAATATAGCTCATCATCCAAATATGTAGCAGCTCAAATATGAACAAAGATATGATCAACTGATTTTTGTAATTTATTCTTATAATGAAATATAAAATTATTTGTTCCTGCTTCCACTTCACTTCCTTCTGCAAGTGCTCCTTCTTTGACATGTCCTTACACATCAGTAATGCCCGTGAGTACACTGGAAACCCAAAGATACAAAGAACTAAGCATAAAGAGCAGAAAGCCCTGGTTTTTGGTCACCTGGCATTTAACATGGGTAAAGACCAGGGACAACATAGCACTGGAAATGCAGTTTATTTGTGGAGCTGTTGCTACAGAGCAGATGTGTATGTGAATTATGATGAAAGCTAAACAGAAAGCTTAGTTATTGCTTGCTTGGTTTTTTCAGTGGAATCTGAGCTTGGGGTTTTCTTTTACTTTTCATCTGTTGAGCAAACATTGAAGCCATGAGTCTGAAGACAACCAGCCCATCTGTTCGCGTTTCCTTTCTCTTTACCTTCTCCTTATCCTTGTGAATCTTTCAGACACAGACAGCAATTACAGTATACACGATGTTTAATTGAACTTAATCCCCATTAATTGCTTAATTGATTCAATTAAGTAATATTATTTAGGAAAAATTACACACTGCCTTTCAGGCTTAGAATGCAGTTATTGCAAGCAAAAATCCTCCCGTTGTTTTTGGGCTCGGAACCAGCTAGTCATATGACTATTTGTTAGTGTAGCAATTACATCAAGCAAAGGATGAGTTGGCTGCTTTGTCTGCATAGGAACTGTAAGGCTGTAGTTTGAGTCACGGCATTTGTGAGAAAAATGCTGTAGTCTTAAAGAAAAGCAAATGTTTTTCAGAGATTGGTGTTTATTTTTGACAAAGAAATTGTCAGTATCAAACAAAATTATAATGTCCTTGAGTCTTTCATTTCCAGCCAAATCATTATCAGCTGATGCTCAAATGCATTTTCTGTCTGAAGCACTGAGCACTTTCCATTATCATTTTTCTACTGGTACTAAAAACAATTTTCTGTAGTTTTATTGAGCTAATCTAGCAACTTTCCAAACCAACTAACAAAGGAAAGAAACACAGTATTGGACTTCATAAGGAACTCATGCCCATTCTTCTTGTAAAGTAATAGAAACTGTTAAATATTTGCATAAAAAATCTTACTAATAAGCTTCACTTAATGTGGAAGATCAGGCTGGAAAGCTTTAATATGATATTGCATGAATTTGATATTAAGCTAAAAATTATTATTGTTATAAAATGGCAGAGTTTTGTTCTATTCCCACCATCCAATTTTTTACTTATATGTGAAAAGGGGCAGCTGAACCAATAAGCCTGTACAACACAGTTAAAAACTAAAGTAAATTTAATGACATTACTTCCCAGACTAAATTTGCATAATGTAATTTAGGGAAATAGTTGCTGTATGTTTATATTAACTATGAGCTGGCATCTGACTGGGCATGTCTGAGCACTGGGCTAAGCCTCTTGTTCCAGCCCTGGAGCGGGAAGGGCTTTGCATTCTGACACTCAAGATTTAGCAAAGAGAAGAATATTCATATTGCAGTAAAGCAACAAGAAACATTATATGCCAACAATTTCAAATCACAAAAATAAGAACAAGATGCTTCTTTTTTGCACCGTTCCACATTTTTGTAGGTTTCACAGTACAACCAGACTAAACCAGTTCCCCAGACTATATTGCTTGCTTTGATACATCCACAACTTGTCAATGATATCAAAGGCTTTGTAATATTTGCAGTTTAACAATGGAGAGGCAGACTTTACTGGTTATTAGTTAAGGGAATACAATACTGTACAGTCTTACTTTTCAATAAGGAGTTCTGTTTTTGTTTTCACTTCATTATAGTGAAAGAGATGACGACAACGTAGGAATTAAGTATCTATATTACTTACATTACCAATAGCAGTATGGTGTAGACAGAAAACAGAAGGCAAAGCGCTGCATCAAATGAGAAGAAAATTTGACACATTCTCTTTTTACTGGGACTTAACACGGAGTGGCAAAACAGTGAGTTTGGGATGGACCTTGAGCAGAAAGGGTGATCCTGACAGATTTCATAGTTCTGAAGCAGCCTTTGAAAGAATGTGTGTCTGGCTTACACTGAGCCATGCAGTGAGATCTGAGGCACACGCTTCATCCGCCAGATCACCACTACTGCAGGGGGGAGGACCATAAGGAAGCTCATGATCAGCACTGTAGCACAAATGACCAGCAGTATTTCCCATGGTGCCAGGGTTGTTTCCTCCACCATTTCCTCCATTCCAAGAGTATGAAGCTGTAGGGAAGAAAATACACCGCATTACTTTTTTTTTTTTTTTTTTTTTTTTGTAAGTAGATGTTACAACTGTATAGATATGCTTGTTTTATTTAGCCAGGGGCTGTGTAACAGAGCAATGACATAGAGCTGTCAAACAATGATGTGTTGAGTCAGTGTTATCTAGCATTACAAAATGTCAAATCTTGAACTTTTCAATCTAGTTTTCCATTTCATTTTTCAGAGTGGAGCACTGGCTTTGCTCTTGGGGGTTTTCCCATTAGCATATGATGGGGTAAGTCAAAATGTGTCACTGGGGGTTACCTGCCACATAAGGTCCACAGTTATCAGATTAAAGAAAAAGATTTAAAAATGAATATTACCAATACATTTTTTAACATTTTTGCAACAAGTACAGGCAGAAATGTACCCACTAAGCAGGAAAATAAATATGATTATAATGAGCAGAGCTGATAAAGTGCCTGGGAACAAGGAGAGAAAGAGGAGACTGGAGGGAAATTGTTCTATCACTGAAGACTGGATCACATCAGGATTTTGCCATTTAGCTGTCCAGCAAACCATTTTCTGGGAATTTCAAACAGTCTTCTTGTTTGAAAGCATTTAAAAGTTTTGTTTTCCTGCTTTAGCCTAGCACACAACTTTAGACAGTCTCCAACAAGCTGGCTGGACCAGCTGCTTTCTCTTATGTCAGGCAGAATGCAAAGCTCAGCACAGCTGAGCTCTGGAGCAAAATGGCGGCCCCCTCTATGTGGGAGTGCAGGGAGTTTCACTCTCTTACTACGCGGAGCACCAAACGGCGTTACATGGCTATCTGCTGACTCTAAAGCTCAGAACAGTAGGGTACAATAGAAGGGTGATCTGTGAATCATCAGCACCGGGTTTGTGAGGCAGGAGCAAGGCCCACTCACAGGTGTGCCCAAACTCAGCAGGGACAAGGTGCTGCTGCTCAGCACAGCCCCACACAGCTGAGCACCACGATGGGCCACATATAAAGGTGGTGCTGGGGAGGGAAAGTTCAATCACAACACCTTGCTTTTGCTGTTGTCTGGGAGAAGGTCTCCCAAACAGTATTGCTCTCAGCCCAGGATCATGGCTGAGGCTTTTCCATAGGCTATCCAAGGCTATTTGATGTGAGATGTAATGGGCTTCTGTAATTAAATGCTAAACCTTACCCCCCCCAAAAAAAAACAACAAAAACAAAACAAAACAAAAAAAAAAAAACAGATCAAATACATGGTTTAGGAAGAAGTGAAAAATGAGTGGACTTAAAAAAATTTGCAAGCTGCCAGCAAATTTTTACCTGGTGTAGGAGTATTGAAATTGCTGTCACTAAGAACTTCTTGTTACAGCCTGCGAAGAAGAGCAAGAGCTGTCTGATACCAAATCCTGCAGAGTTTGGATGATGATATCTACAAGGAAAGCTAGCAGCCTATTAGGCAGGCTTCAGCTGGAGCTTTACTGAGCTGTTAAATGAGCAGGGTTCTGCCACCTGAAGGTAAACTTTAGCTCTCTGGTGTTGACTTGCTGTTTTTTGTATCTGTGTCCTAATCTCTCAAGGTACCAACTCAAACTATTTTAAGAAAAAAGGGAAAACCACTTTCCCTTCAGGCTCAGTTACACCTGTGCAGGCTCTGTGTCTGCCTTGCAGCAGTGCTGAGACCTTTCCAGAAACCACAGCCCTTGCGAACTTGTGCCAGGATTTACAGTTCACATTAATGTCAACTCCTGCAAGCTGTGGAATGTTGCAAAGGATATGGGTGTAGCTTCTAGCTCAGAGCCTGAAGCACAGATGGGGTGACTGTCTCCCTGCCAGCTGAGCACATACCTGTGGTAGGACAGCTCCGGAATGTCACCTGTTAGGCTTGTTCCCCTGTGACAGTCTGGCCTTTCTTAGTGCACTAAGTTTTCTTCTTGTTCCCTCTCTTTGGGTGCATGAAAGAAAGCAAGTGTGAGGCCATTAACACCAGAAGAGGCAGCTGTAGGTGAGCCTTGGGGAGCTGCTTCCTGCTGCTTTTTTTTTTTTTTTTTTGCAGTCACAGCTGCAGGAGAGCACTAGATTGAAACCTTTTCTCCTCTCTGCCCAATTGTTCTCCTCCATCTGACTCTGAGATCTCCTGCTCCTCTTTCTCCCTCAGGTGTTTATCTGTGCCTAGCTGCTGTTTAGTTCTCCCACTTTCATTTTGAGCCTTATGTGTTATTATGCCTTATTTGCTCTGTTCCTCATTCCCCTCTCTCAGTTCTCCTGTTCGGACAAGGTGTTACTCTGCTTTTATTTTTTTTTTTTTTATTTTAAGGGAACAAGGGGTTTCTCTACTTCCTGTAATGCTGATCCCTCATCAGCAGATGGCTCAGAGACAAAAATCCAACCACAGAACCTGCTGGACTTCACACAGCAGGCTTGTAGTGACAGAGCAGAGAATGCTTTCTCCATTAAATGATGGATGTGAGGGAAGCACACATCTGTAATCTTTCCTAAAACGAAGTTTGAGTGACTGTTAGTCGGACTACACCATGTTGAGTCAGAAACAGAGAGCACCCTGGATGGATAAAATTAAGTGAGGCCCTTTCGAGATAGTAAGCTCTATGGTTTGCTGAATGTGAGTTGTGCTTGGACATACAGACACCAGGAGAAGGCACCCCTTTGCTTGGTCCCTGGTGAAGCTGTGCCCTTATGCCTGGATAAGAGGTTGCTGAGGGGCACTAGTACTCCTGGCAGTAAAATGAAGTTGACACAAAATCCTGCATGAAACTGGGAGAAATCACTCACTGGGAGGTACCAGCTGGGTTCTGGTGAGCCTTGCCACTTCTGAAGCACTGAAATACTCTGCAGTCAGAAAACAATGCTGAGGATGGTATCACAGAGGCGACAGAGAAGTGATGGGAAGATCTGCTGTGGTATAGAGCAGCTTCAGGGAGTAAAGACTGAAAAGCTGTAGAAAAAGCAGCAGTTCATTTGCTGAAGTTCTTGTTTTGCTCATCAGGAGCTGACAGCTACACAAGTTTAGCTAGATAAGCTGTTGACTAATAACTCTCCTAAGTCTTACAGGATGTCCCTGAACTATTAACTCGTCCTTCACCAGCCTATTCTGTGCTTCCCTGTACTCATGTTTTTCACTTTCTTGTATTTTAAAGCTATGCGCTCTTAATTTATGGGTGAGGGCTTCACAGCCTGGGACACTACAGAGCTTGCTTTGGTCTGTCACAAACTGTTCCTGACCCACTCTGTATGACATATCAGCCATATAAATAAGGAAATCACGACTGGAATGCATTTGAAATGTAAATAGGTGCACTAAGAAGTGAGTCTGTTAAACCACAATACTGAGCAATTAGCAGGTACTAAGGCTGAAGGTCATAACACACTCCTGAGTTTTGCCTACCTGTGTCAAGTAGCCTAGTTCATCCAGTACAGCTCTGTGACATCTGGAACTGTTACTCAGATAATGAGATGTTTATTGCATTGACAGTGTTTGATCTACTCAGCATATGTGGTGAAAACATTCCAAACTAGTACTCTTTGCTGATGTTCTAAAAAACTTCTTGGGTTTGATTATGGGAGAGTATGAATGAAAAAACTTGAATATAGTGGTTAACCAAAACATCTCTCTAGAAAATAAATATAGTGGTGTGTTTCTTTCATAATAAATACACAGCTGTTGAAGCTTTGCAGTTCTTTATCTCAACTAAAAATCCTCATCAGTATGTTAGCATACCAGATCTGCTCTCTAAACCACACAATATATATCTATAGCATCCTTCATTGCAAAATAGTTTATCTCTGTTTGTCTGCAAGATTAAAGGCCTCTGCAAGGGTGGGAGAGTAATGGAATAGAATGCAATGCTTGACTTCTCTAGAGCAGTATACAGTGAGTGCTTTTGATAAGGGAAAAAGGCCTATTAAACTGTATTTTTTTTTTGGTTGCGCCCTCATTTTCCCATGTTCGTTTCAGATTTGTCGGAAGCTACATAGACTGAAGTCTTCCCTTTCTCAAGTTCATGCGAAGCCCCTCTGGATGTTGAAGAAGCAATTTTCTTAGCACAGTTGACAGACTTGCTTTTTAGAGAAAAAAACAATTCTATTCTTACACTCACCACAGAAAAGAATTGCAATTTTGCAACACACATCTGGAAGTGAAGCTGGTATGCTTCATTAAGAGCCTGTTTAATGCTATCTGAAGTAGGCCTTGAAAAGCATGTTAGATTGCAGATTGCTTTGCTGCTACCCTTATCTTAACACAGATCCATTCATGACCAATATAATGTCTTCAAAGTCACAGCACTATCTCTTACAGAGGACTACGTTAGCAGGAAAAAAAGACTTGTGTAACAGTACATATATTTAGCTGTCACACTACAGCCTGCTACGCTATCCAGAAGACAATATTGTTTGGCCATTTAATTTATAGCTTTTACTTCTGATCACTAGGAAAAAAAAGCCATGCAAGCAGAAGGGGTGACTGAATTTGTCAGGCTGCTCTCTCCCACTGAGTTAGATGGGCAGTGTGCCTAGGACAGAGCTGCCTGGTGGCTTGTTTCTGCCCTCTAAGGAATCTGCAGTCTTGCCCTACCACCTGAAACTACTTAGCAATGCTTGTCCAGCCTGCTGCAGGTGCTGATGTGTCCAATGATATTTTTGATTTCAGCTGCAATGAAGCTGAGTTACATAGCTATATTTCTCTGTTAATCTAGCTTTTTTTTTTTCCCCAAATCACTCATGAATCTTTTCTTTGAAAAACCAATTGTAAAGGTGTCATGAAAAGCCACAATTATTTATCTGCTAAACAAACAGGGCCAGGGTGGGAAGTTACTTTTCCTCAGTGCAATGAGGCCAAATGCTGAGAATTGCAACAGTTACAGAAAAAAATAAAAAGGAACAGCCTCTGTTCTCTACAGAAGTAAAGATTTCATATAGTCTTTTTAAGCCTATGGGGTCACTGTAACGTGAGAAGGTCCCTGAATGAGATGCTTGAGGGAGGTGGTGGCCTCCCAAGCTGTAACTTGCTCTCACTTGTGGGTCCTCTGCCTTTCAGAAACCTGATCTGGCAACTGAATTGAGATCAGAAATATCTACATATATAACCTGTTCTCCTCCAAACTTCAGAACATTCAACTATCTTGTACTAATTTTTCCTCTATACTTGGTAACGTCAAAACTCTAGTGGTACTGACCAACCTCTGGGAACAAAGAAAACAAATTTTAAAGAATTCTTCGGGGAGGCTTCTAAATACAGCCACCAAAAGGTGGAATGGATCAGCCTGCAGTGCCAGTTTCATACCAGTCAAGCATGTTATTTTCTCCTGTTTCTCAGGAAAATGACAGCTTTTAATGTTAAATGAAAAAACACCTGAGAGCAAAAGACTGGGAGATGAACAGGAACATGGGCAAAGGCTGTTGGTCTTTCCTCATCTTGAGTTCCAGCAGGAAGCTGTAATTCTTTCATCTCGCCTAACACAGTATTTCAGGTTTAAACACATATTCCTGGAAGGAAAGAATTTTCTGAATCCTTTTATTCTTAGATGATTTCTGGAGATAAGTAACCTCAGACGGGGGAAGCCTCAGTGCTCACAATGACAGAACAAATTCCCAACTGGTAAGCTGCTCAGTGCTCTTCTACTGAATAAAAAACTGGTTGCTAAATATTTGCAAAGCAAGGATAAACATACCTAGAGCTGATACTTGGGTATAGACTTGTGTGACTGAGTATTTATGGAAGCACACTGAGGAAACTAGACCCTTGACTAATGTCCAAACAGGTGAATTCAGTGCTTAATTTGGTGCTGCATGGTCTGCTCAGAGATTCTTGTTTCTAATGTTACTGGAAATTTTTGGCAGCTGGACTGGGGTTTTGCTCCATACGTTCTACTAGGCAAGAAAACACTGACAAAAGTAGACGTATGGATCTTGGGTGTAAGAGTCATGTGTGAAGACACGGCTGGAAACTCCTATGAAGAGGCTGGATTTCCCTGTTCTACCTGCAGCAAATAGCAGCCTGCTGCTGTTTTGCATCGATTTTGTCAGCTGAATCCCTTTTTCTTTGGCCTCCTTCACTTTGGGGGGGAAGAAAGAAACTGTTCCTGCCTCAGAGAATATCTGCCATGAGATAGTTTGCTATAAAGGTTCTAGGCCACTCATTGTACTACTTAGTAACATCTGAGAATCAATCATTCTGCTCTCCTTCCATCACCATAAGTATAGTCCTAATTGAATATAAACTTGTTTTTTCACTGTCAATAAACAATGAGTTCAAGAAGTTCTATATAATGTAGTTGTACTGTAACATTTGGGAATACTTTGGTCACACAAGCAGGGTAAACCCTACTTCTCTACAGCTCTATCCCTTGTCTGCCTTCCTGTTGGCAGGCAGAATGAAAAAGCCCTGATCAAAGATACTAAAAAACTATGATGTGTTGCAGACTACAAGTCATCTCCTTACTGAAACATTTTTTCTGTTTTAGTAGGCAGATAGTCACACTAAAACGTGTCAGTTCAGAATATCAGATAAAATCAGATGTGGTATTGCATTTCTGGTTTCAGAATGGGGCTCGTGGCTCTCTGCAGGTAGAGATTTTACAGCCCATACACAGGAGCTGCTTGCACACCCTGACTGCGATGCTTTAGCACAGCTAAATGCTACATGATACTTCCTGTTTTGCAGCTTGAACATCTCTTCTCCCAGACATGTACTTCTACTGAAATGAAAGTGCTAAACCAGCAACAAAGCACTCCTTCTGCTCTCTGCTCCCTTAACTTTGAGAGTGAAATCTTCAGACTTGGAGAGGGGCAAACAAGCGTTATCGTGTGCTGCTTTCTGATCCTAACTGCCAACTTATTATTAACACTTAATGATAATTAGATGGGTCAGAGCCAGTTGTCTGGAGAGGCCATCACTGCTGTATTGCCCCTGTTATTCCTCGTAACAGCGTGCAGCTGCAGACAGGTGAACTCCTGTGCTGCTTCTCCGACTTTGCTGGCCAGCGTGGAGAAGTTCTTGCTCAGAGATCAACTAGAAATGAGCGTGATTACTTGAAGTCAAATGTCACTTACTTATGGATCACATAAGTCCAGAAATAAAGTTAATTCGTTAAGCACCTTAGAAAAAAAGGCCCTATTTTAACTACGTGAATCCTGAATGATCAAACAACACGGATCCCTAAAGGACCAGAACCTTCAAACCAAGAAGGTTCTGAAAATACTCTGAATCGCAAGATTAAAATTGAAAATTAAAAGTGAATTTGCTTGTGTTCTACGTTAGGTTTTACTCTAGAAGGAACAACTGAATAAAGTGCTAATTACACTAAATAAGCATTATTTTTAGAATTATTTCAGCTTTTCTAAAGCATGCTATAATCAGGCTTTACTTAGAAGTAATCAGAACAGTCCACTTGAGAGCACTGTGAGTGAAGTCACTGAAAGCAAATTACGTATATTTTTTAAAACAACGTGAAGCTTAGCTGCCAAAATATAGTCTAATGTGCAAAATCTGGGAGGTCTTGAGAAGACAGACATGATGAAGACCAAGCATACGTACCAATGCAAAAGGGCACAAAGCACTTCTAGGGTTTGGCTAATGGTGCTTTTAGTTACAGTATGAGACATACTTTGTCCTCACTTTTTCCAAGCAAGCAGGCAATTAAGACGTAAGTTAAAATGTAGCAAGACTCTCTTGCATTTATAATATGCAGAAATCACTCCAGGAATGTCAATTTTTTCATGTTTCATCTAACAAGCTGTCTTTGTTCCCTTGGATTTCTCCACATGTTCCTGTTAGTTTTCAGGACCTTGAATACATTGCAGGGGGGCTACATACAGCTATAAGTTAAACGTTTCCTATTTTGAAATGTTTAAACAGTTCTGAAGGGACTTCTACAACCTGAAGGTCTCCTGACACAAAAAGGAAAATAAAGGATTGCTTTATGCAGTGCATTTGTAGACATAGCTCTATTTACTAAACTGACTCTTAGTACTAGAGAACTTGACACAAATGGCATGAATTTCAACTTCACATCTTGACTATGAGAAGTTCTAGCTTTCTTTAGAGTGTGTTGCAGGTGAAGTGACCAATTTGAGCGGTGCCATAGAAATTCATATTTTCCATCCACCTTACCTTAATTTCCTCAAGGTATGTTGCAAGTCTCACAGATAATCTCGAGTAGCTCTGTCCGAGAGCCCATCCTCTGTCCAGTTTCCTCACTGTTTGCTGGAAAACGTGGTGTCGAGCCTGCAAGGCAGAACAGGGAATGTGAGGCTGCCGTCCCCTCAGCTATGTGAGGCTCAGAGGTGAGCACAGTGGTGTGCCCAGGTACTTGTTTGTACTGCAGTGCCTGCATACCTCCCACTTGCTGCTTCTTAAAGTGGCACAATCCTTTTGAAAACAAGGGTGAAGCAGTTTTGTTTGACCACAGTTTGCTCAGGACCAATAAAACTACAGTCTGCTCTTCACATGTGCTCACATCGCTCTGGCAGGCAATCACTGAGAGATAATAACTGGTAGTTCCGTTGTATCAGGAAACCACTTAGGTTTTCTCTGTGAAAATCATCTTATTTACTTAGAAATCAAAATATTGTCGTAATAACCAGTCAAAAGCAGGGTTATAAACTGAAGAACGCATGCAGCCTTCAGGATATAAAGGCTGTCATCCCTAAGGTTATCCAGACTCAAAATCTTCTTCACGCACCTAACCCCCAACAATTTAGTTTGGTTCAACGCTTGCTATTTACAAGCTTATTGTTATTTTAATATTTGAAAGATTGAGGCTGCAGAGTCTACTGCAGGAAGTAGAAAAGCACATCTGTAATGCTATAATGTAACAGAAAATGCAGCAGTGACAACAGAACAGCAAAGTCCTGGGTTGCAGCAAGTAAGGAGTTACTCAGATATCATAGCTATGGGCTCAGAAATAAAGGAAAGAATTTGCTTACCTTTGGAAGGTCTCAGGTACACAGGGATCTGCAGCAAAATACCCTCACCTCCACTGCCAACTCTTAAATAAGGTCTGGGAAGGGGTGGCTCCTGGCTCCAGCTCTTCTGGTCACTGAGCTGCATTGTGTGCACCTGAGCTCCACTGGGTTGGCCCTGCCTTCCCACCAGGTACTCCATCACTGCTTCAAGCTGTGACTTAGCATTTCCAATACACATGTGCAAACCCTTTCAGAGGTTTTACTAAGCAGTTCTGGCTCTGCTACATAATACGGTGGAGGTGGTGTTGCACAGTCCCTATGAATCATTCTCATGATACGAGGTGAGATGATGGCCAGACTGCAGCATGGGCAAGGAACCCTCTGGTGCAGACACTCAAGCTATTTTGTCCAAAGAAGCATGTGTGTGTGTTTGCACCTACTGAGACCAAAGTTTAGACTTCAAGCATGTCCCTTCAGACCTAAAAGTCACTTGACAATAGTTTTGGGTTTTTTTTCTAAATCTTATCAAATACGCTATCTTATGGGAAAAAGTGACTGTTAGGAATAGTTCTTCATCTCATAGATATTTTTATAGAAATGAAAACAATTTTGACCAGTTTTTTGGGTTTTTTTTTTGGGGGGGGGGGGAGAAGGGGGAGATGGGGGAGTACTTGTTTTTCACTGTACAAAGGGAGAATAAGTCAGTAAGATTTTCTTCCCCAAAAATTATAACTTATCTCCCTATTTTATGTTACTTCATTGACTTTGTAAAAACAAAGTCCCTTCTTTTATTTCTTTTCATGAAATCTTCTTATACAGTCTATCTCTCAAGATTAACAACATCTCAATGGGCATCAGCCTAGTGAAGGTGCCATTACTATTACCTTTGGAAGTGGTGCTCTTCATTGGCTGAAAAATTTGAGCTGCATCAGAGTGTTTGGCTTGTCAGGAAGCTGGGTGGTGTCAGTGTACACCCATAACACTGTTACAGTCACTTTAGGTGCAGCTAGCGTTCAAGGTTAGAATCCAAGTGGATTAGGCCTTTAAAATAAGTTCATAAAGGTTTCAGAAAATAAACACTGAAGTAATTATTAATGACACTGTTGCCAGCCTTGGGTACTCCTGTCTTTTTACAGTTATGGTGATGCTGTGTTGCTCTCTCATTCAGATTCTAAAAATAAAAGAGGTGTCCAAATGCCTGACTGAACTGGCCAAGATCAGTCAGTACCTTCTCAGGCCAAGACTACTGCTTCCAGACTTGCCTGCTTTTGGCAGGGTTGCAGAAGTAAAGTGAGGAAGGCTGAGAAATATTTGTTTCACTTGAAATTTTAGGTCCTCGTCTAGTAACATGAGGAGTTAGTGACCAGACAGGGTTAGCATTCACATCTGTGAAGTAACACACAAAGTCCTTTGCCCACCTCATTGGGAATCCACAGGGGAAATGTGCCCCAACAGTGAGTGGCTGGCAAATATTTCTGCTATGGCATGTGTTCATAGACTTATGCTGAAGACACTTTTTTTTTTTTTCACATCATTGCAATTTGTTCTGATTTTGAGATGATTCTGTAACCCCTAGAGATGAACAGGAAGATAGGAAATCTCAAGTTTCCAGGATAAAAACTTACCATGGTTTTCAGTGTTTGGAGGGTTCAACTTTGTTCTCAAGCTGACATTAATTGCTGTGAGCTTCTGAACTGTCTTGGAATACGATGAGTGGAAAACTACTGCATGAGTGATGTCTGTGTTCTGATTTCCTTGTGCTGGTGGCAGATAGTTTCACAACAGGAGTCATGCAAGGCTGAAGACTGTGGGCGGATGAGCTGAGTGAAGACAGATACTGGAAAGCTGTAAAACATTTGTGAGTAAGAAAGAGTAACAATACAGTTTGAAAGCGAAAGAGTGCCCATGGATTCTTGATTCCCCATTTGTCCTCTGCACGCCTGCTTCAAACTGGGTTCAACATAGCAGTCTGTTTAGACCTTACACTACAGGATTCAGTGCTTTACATTCTGGCTGTAGTATCCAGAAACAAGGTGCTGATCAGCAGCTTGTGCATCTCATCACATGCCTAACAGATGCATTTTGCAAACTGAGGATTTTGTTTATAAAACATTTCTTTTTATACATTTGGATAACTTTACCATTCCAGGAACGGTAAAATGGTTGTATGCATTTTTGTGGTGAAAAATCTGAATATTACCAGAGTGAATAATTACATACTTTGCAGAAGTACCAAACTGTTGAAGCAGGCAGGTGTGTTGGTGTAACATTAATCCTTAAGCATTAATCAGTCTACGTAAATACTTTTAAGATAAAGTACTTAGTTTGCAGAGAATAGCAACAAGAGTGGTTCACAGGCCACGACAGCAAGCAAGGAGCTGAATGGAGGCCAGGGGCATCTATGCCTTTCCATAGAGCAGGTGGTGAGATTGTGTACTCAAAACATTTGAGTAATTGAATTTAAGCCAGCTCAGGAATGTCATGCACAGCCAGTTGCTGCTCTGGAATTACAGTGATGTGCGTAGCCAAGAAGCTGCAAGCAGCTCCCTCTCCAGCCCCTGTGTTTGCACCAGCTGTGGTCTTGCCTTCCTTCCCTGCTTACCATTGTATGTTATCTGTTTGGTCTCCCATCACCCAGAGGGTAGGAGGAGCTGGTCTGGCTCTAGGGCTGTAAGTTTCCTTGCTCAGCTCCCTCTAAACAATCTGGGGCTAACAAGGCTCACGTGAGTGGGTGCAGCTGATACCGAGGCATTAGATGCAGTGTGTATGGAAGCATGTTGAAATGATTGGCCAGTCCTTGCCCCATGGTTTGCAGAGCTTGTGCAGAGTCTATGTTATCCAAGCTATGCTGGAGTCAACTACCCAACAGGAAGAAAAAGAACTCATAAACGTATCTGGGTCTGACTGTTGCACTGCTCCACTCTGCAAGTGGGAATGCCCAGCTTTGGTAGCTGATTGAACCCCTTTAATAAATGTTTAGAAAGCTCTGTCTTAAAAAAATCTTTAGCGAGGGTGAACTCTGAGTGGCTTCTGCAAGGAGCACAGAATACGGGCTTTTTCCAAGATGCATGTGTCTACCAAGCTTAGCCCTTGGGAAACCTCAGTCAAGTTTTGTGAAGACTTGAAATTGCCAGTTATGCCTAGAAATCAGCTGGGGTTATCTGAATCGCTCTACCTCTTAGCTGAAATAAATTGATCTTGCCATGGCTCTGTTGTTCACACCAGGATCAGTTCCCATGTGTGGCACCTTGATCTTTTTGTCCTACTAATGCTTTAAGTTAGGAAAGGGTTTAGGAATTGCCAGAGGCGCTGAGGCCAGATGGCTTCGGGCCACCTCTTCAGACATATGAAAGTTACAGACCTGATGTCTCTAAAATTTTCCCATGGGAAATGTAAGGGGAGAGAGAACCCCTAGAGCTCCCTGCCATGTGTCATCCTAGCAGCACTGCTTATTTGTTCTTTCAGGGAATGTGTTACGGGTGAAGAAGGGCAGAGAAAAAGCAGGCTGAGCAACAGCTGTGGTAGCAGCGATGTCTGTATGGGTAGGTTTGGTGAGGGAAATTGGGGAACTGAGGAGACCAGAGTACAACTTTAAGGCTCATAGCTACACAGGACTATAGGAAGCTTTCCTGATTGCAAGTCGCTTCAGGAAATCTACTCTTTTCTCTTGAGAAGTCAGTAGGTTAAGAGAATATAGGAATCCTATCAAGAAAGTTAGGGGACAATCAATAACAGATCAGACAAAATGGTCACTGCTCTCATTTTAAGTAATGGCTTATAATTCTATGGTTGATATTTATTCAGAAACCAAATCAGACTGAAATGAGTGACTTATATTTTTATATGCTATGTTGAGTTCACTAGCTACAAATGAAGATACAAGGGAAATAAAAGACTATTCCATGTACCCTACTAGACAGGAAGAAGCACTAAAACTGGCAGACAACAAGGCGGTTCTGATTGCACTTTTTGTCATTCCAAGTGCCATCAGTGTACATCTCCACACACTCCTCTTCCCCTTTGCCAGAAGGCTCGTGTGAATACCAGTTGGTATAGCTCAGGTCAGCACCATACAGGAATTGGAATTTGCCTGGGATTAGAGATTCCTTTATTCCCAGGTAGGCGTACCTATTAAACTGCTTCACAAAGTGCAGAATGGCAGCGTTCTCTTCTGCGTTCCTTGGAGATGCAATGCACCCACCAGCCTCCTGGCACATTTTCACCGTAGCATAGAAATCAGCTGTTTTCCCATTGGTAGCGAATATTTTTTGTCCAGATATTGTTATCTTCCCTTGTAAGCGAAGGACTGCAAGATCAGGTAGAAGTTGTTAATTTGTATGGATTGTTTTGTAGTCAACTTGTTGCCAATTCCTACTATTATCACTTCAGATTAAATGACTTCAGATTAAATCCAGAAATAACTAAAGGAGATGAAAACGTAAAATATAAGATTAAAAATAGAGAATAGAGACAACCCCCAAAAGCTGGAATAAATCTGAAAAGATGAGGGGAGGGGGAAAAAAGTAAGGAACAACTATATATGGATTTACAAAGGTGGATAGCAATAGGACAAGGGGGAACAGTTTTAAACTGAGACAGGGGAGGTTTAGGTTGGATATTAGGACGAAGTTTTTCACATAGAGGGTGGTGAGGCACTGGAACAGGTTGCCCAAGGAGGTTGTGGATGCCCCATCCCTGGATGCATTCAAGGCCAGGCTGGATGTGGCTCTGGGCAGCCTGGTCTGCTGGTTGGCGACCCTGCAGGGGTCGGAACCAGATGATCATTGTGGTCCTTTTCAACCCAAGCCATTCTATGATTCTATGATAGAGACAATGAAATAGGAGAAGCACAAGAAGGTGGAGAAAGAGGGAATGAAAAGAGGAATTTTCCATTAAGATAAACTACTCTATTAATCCCTTTTATTCTAGTTCTGTACTGTATAAAGCCTCTGAGATGACCTGCAGAATATATGGATATTCATCAATCCTCAAGTGAGTACAAACTTAGATACAATCAGATTGTGAATACTTTGAGACGTTTTTAGTCTTCAGTTAGGTAGCGGCATAAGAAATGGTCAAGGAGCAATTTTGCATAAGTATGGTTCTGATAAGCTTGACTTATTTGCACTCAAACTTCAGAATTGTTACCTACAGAGAGCAACATGCTCTTCTTCCCCCAGTCTGTAAGTTATAACCCTTCTGTGTATCAGCAAGCAACATAAAGAGAATGCGATGAAAACTGGAAAATCTACTTTTTTTTCTTAGAAGACATTTCATCCTTCATCTTCTTTACATTCCTCATTCCAGCTACAGTAAAAAGTAGATTTAGATAATTACCTCCTTCGAGTTTTGAAATCCGATCTTTTAATTGAAGGGCGGTATCTTCCATTTCATTACCAGTAACTGATGGGGAACCTATAAACAAAACCAGCTGTTAGCAATTTGGGTTGCATTTTAAATCTTGGCTTTTAAGATAAAGCAGAGGTAATTGTGTGAAATTAATGTGAACTTTAAAAGCTTGTTTTACCTCTGTTGGATTACTGCTGTAAACAAGAGATCTTTTCACACATTGAGCTTTCTAAGGATAAGGAATATATTTGTGGTAACTTCTTGCCAGAGCAGTGGTAGTTATGGAAAAACTTTAATGAATGGACTAGGGTAGACTTCAAGTCTTGAGGCAGCCCAGACAGAAGACTAGCAATTGCACAGTAAGTTTATTTCATTTTAAATGAAATTTAAAAATGTGCATTTCCCCACATCTCCAACCTAACACCTGGCAACAAACTTCTTGCACCTTGTATTGTGGGAAGCTATACCCTTTTCTTTACATGAGCTGAGTGGGAGAGATTTAAACATCTTATTTCATACAGGAAATTTATGAAGATCTCATTATTTCCTACCAAGCAGAACCACGTCTTATCATACAGCATTGCACTGGGTTTATGAAGCATAAAGGTGGAACGCAACAGTATGTGTAGATAGAAATGGCACTGGTAACTTCAGGCACCTGGTAAACAAGCTTGAGATATCCTGTTTTCTGCTCTGAAACCGGGCATTGGGAAAAATTGTTCTGGTTTTCCTTGAGCGTAGCAGGGGAACAGAAGAAGTATCAGTCCCAAGATTTTGTAGAATAACTCTGGTGATGGCATTATTTAAAGCCAAGTATAAAACAATCAGTTTTGTTCTCCAGTGTAGAGCCCTGTTTAAACAAACAAACAAACAAACAAAAAAACAGAAGAAAAGAAGAAAAGAAGAAATTCTGTATTTTGCTATTTTGGTTTGAAATTTCTTCTATCAGATAGTGATGTGAATGCCGCTGGCAGTTGCAAAGTTACAGTACTTAGGAGCTTATGGAACAAAAAAAACCAAAACACCCCAAACTTCCCCATTCCCATCCCATTTTTATACAGCAGATACCCTCGTATACAAATTTTCTCATGGGAAAAGCTGTAGTTTTAGTGTTAGTTTTACAGAGGAGCAACAGGTTCATCTGCTTCAATAAGAGAAAAGGTAAGGTGAACAAAGACACGTGGTCTTCATCAATTTGCTTAAGAGGGAAACAATTATTGACATCCATCTGTTAAAATATCTTCACCTCAGGTGACATCTTCAGTCACAGTATGCTAAAATTTTAATAAAAACGCTGACACAGAAAAACTCTAAAATGGAGAAGCTTGTGAGCAATTTACAACAATTTAATGGAAATCTCTTTAAAGATGTTCAACTTACCTGGTAGCTCCAATATGAAATAGGGAGGGCTTATTAAAATGGTCTAATTTATAGGGCAGGTAACTTGAGATTCATCTTCTTATCTATGGCAAATACCAAGAGCACGTAATGTGATACAAATTTGCATATGAACAGAAATGT